AGCAGCTATCTGAACTAAAAACATAATCTATCTCAGACCCCATTCTCCATAATCAATTAAAGAAACACATTATATAATGGTAAAAATCTGTCCCACCATAGTAAAATCTTTCTTGACCTCTGAGGGAATAGTGAAAACCTTGTCATTATCACTATAACAATCTCTTAACCCAGTTAAGCAGTCTATTAACAAAAATACGGCTAGACCTGACACAAGCCCCTATAAAATTAAGTTTACCAAGTAACTTTTTGTACCTCCTTTAAAAGAAGCTGAATCTTTGTTTAACCAAGATTTTATTAATAATTTAATCTCTGTAAGCCTATCCTTTGTAATTTCCATAACCATATTTTTTTGTATCAAATGCAATACCTAAAAATATCATATAGTCAGAAGGAGGACTAGCTTTTTCAACCGCCCTCGTCAATCCCACTTTTAATAAATAACTGCCTAAGAAGTGTGAAAGCAAACATAGACATTTCGTTCCTTTCAACACCTGCAAAATCATCTAGATAATTCAATACGGCTAACCCACAATTGTGCATCATAAGAGAAAAGGCATTAGTGACCCTTTGACAAATGTGAGCAGAAGACCTTAATCCCATAGGTAAAACAGTGTCGAAAAATAAATGTTTCTCCATTTAAACCCTACTAAGTTATAACTGGAAGGACAAATACTTATTTGTCTGTAAGCCCGATGCAAATCTAATTTGTACATTAAACAAACCAGGACCTTTAGTCTTTATTAAAGCAATAAAATCATCTATTTTAGGATATATCAATTCAACCTTTTTTCCTAAATAAAATTCTTTAGAAACAAATTGGTTAATGCTGTTGCCATTCTTTGGAAAACTAAGATCCAGAATAACTCTACGTTCACCCCTGGTGTTGATTTGGGAACTGAATTTAAAGGGGAAAAAACCATACCCTCTTCAAAAAGGACATTTATTAAACGGACCTATAATAGCATCGTAAGAAGCTTCCTTTTTGAGATATTTTTTCAATATCATAAGGAAAAGCTCTCGCGCCTGAATGGTTTTTTATATTTCTAGGTGTTAATAACCTTGATTCTTGACTAATATCGTCAAAACTCTAATTCAATAGGAAAAACCATATCTAAGTAGATCACACACTAATAAATCACTGTAACCATTTAACATGGTTTTCATAAATTCCTATATCAATCTAGTGTTAACTGGAATTTGACAACCTTCATAATTATACAATTTTGATGATTTTACATATTTATGAATTTCAATTTTTTCAGTGGAAGTGGTAACCCAACTCTTGTTTAAAAATTTTATGCACACTGAACATTTTCTTGTATGCTGACAAAAACACTTTTGTTTGATTTTTATTTGGTAGGTTCAAAAACACAAAATTTGGGTAAAAATAAGTTCACTGCATCATTTTCTTTTTTATCTATGGAACAAGATATGAAATTTTCTTTGTTCTGTCAAGAAGCATGTGGACATGCAGTTGAACATTCAGGGTGATTTAATTCTTTTTTATCAGTTTGCCAACAAGTAGCGCAAATGTGCTTTGCGAAACGAGTTTTTGCCTTTGATAAATCAGTTACATGGGAAGATTTTTTGTGAACATTTGTTTCTTTGGTATTTAGAACAAAACCAAACTCTAGTGTCATCTGATGAAGGAAAGTTTTCCTGTGAAAAATTAAAATTTGATCTGGGTCTGAACTGACCTGATTTCCCCTGTAACATTTCTAGTTTTAATCCTATACCTAGATAAAACAGTGGATTCAACATACAGGAAATCATCTCCCCAGACAATGTGACCTAATTCAATCTCACGTAAAACTGCTGCGTATAAAGACTTGATTTGCAACGAATTCGTAAGAACTACTTAAATACATTAATTTTTTCAACAACTCTAATCTACCTTTTCTTTCTTTATTGGTTGTTATATCAGAAGAAATAATCTCAAGTTCTCCAGCAATAAACAGATTGAACTCAATATTATCAAAAGTGAACATTTTTTACTCACAAAATCAAACCTTAAATTTTGAATGTGGATATCTTTGTTCATTCAACAACATTAATCACTTGATTTTGCATTTATACCAGATCTTTTATTATGGTTATGCTTTTTATTTTTCTTCAAATAATTTTTGGTGCACTTGTTATCTTCAATGATGTCTTCATCTTCCGATGTGGATACAAGTTGAGATTCATATGAGATCAGAACTGTCAGAGTTTGAAGATTCGTTCAATCCTAATTTCAACAATTCTTTTTTTTGCTTTTTTCTTCAAAAAGAAGACATTTGTCGCAATGAGTCAATAGTCAAAGAGTTAATACCTGTTTTTTCTGATGAAATCTCAGTGGACGATGGGTTACCGAAGCTTGCTGCCAATTTGGGCTTCGATTTTCCGACGCTATCGTTGATTTTGGTCGAACTATCGCAACCATCCGAACTCCCTTCACCTAACGAATGTTGTAAAGTTTCGATATAACTCTCCCTTTCCTGCACCTGCTTTCTCAATATCTCCAACTCCCGCCGTTCTTGTAAACGAGATTGGACCTTGTCCAATTCCTGCAACCTATGCATCAATTTCAGTTTTTCTGTTTTTCCCGACTCTTCGTCAAGATCGCTAGGAGGCTATAACCGTGTGTCGATAATAAATTATCCGTCGTGGAATTTACATTTGTTGTCATTTTTTCCCGCTGAGGTTCCCGATGGGGTTTTGAACTGATGAAATTTCAGTTCCTGTATTTTTACCAGCAGATTGGTGTTTAACCTTGATAGTTTCAGGTTTGACAATTGAAGGAGAACTAGTTCCATCTTCAATGTAACACTTTGTAATTCATGACTTTATCTTTATTTCTGTCAGATTTACGATCTGCCATATTTAACAAAATAAAATAACAAAATGTTCTTCAAAAAACACAGAATAAAGTGTTCCTCTAAAAGACACTTCACATCGGCACAAATATAGTTCCTTCAAATGTTTACATTTTAAAATTCAAATTTTCAAAACTAAAATCAAAATGAAGATCAAATCCAAGATGGCCACAGTAAAGACCGATGAAAAAATTTCAAATTTTCACTGAACAAAGAACGTGTCTATCAAAACTGTAAGGAAAAACCGCGAGAAGACTATATAAAGCTATACGCGTAGTGATATACAAATCAGTGAAGCAGAAAAATATTAGCCAATGAAAAATTATGTAACATTCAATAATTAGAAGATTTTGTAAGTAAACAAAATGCTATATCTTTATAACAATCATAGAAATCACTTTGCCTAGTGGGAATTTTGAACAGCCATTTTGGGAATTAAAACATAAGAAATTGGGAATTTTAATGTATATTTTCTATTGGGAACAGTACCTTTTCAGGGTAGTAGTTATACACAGAAAAAAACACTGTATATATAGGCTGTTATCCGTAACGCTACCGGAGAGGATAGTAGAAAGTAAATCGGGTTGCAGGATATTTGTTGGATAATTGTTTTGAGGTAAATAAAACAAAAGCATAGAAAAACGAGCATAGTATAATAGAATAGATGTGCATCGAGACTTCCGGGGGTTAAAATAGATATACCCTATTTATGTATATTTACTCTTTTCATAAATAAACAGGAAAAAATTGAAGAGTCGATAATTAGTGCATGCTAACTGTATAAAAAAGTCGGGCTTAGTAAGTCAAAACATCACTATGTAGCGCGCGTCTTAAATATCTTGACTCAAGTATATCAGAAATATTTTCAATTAATAACCTGGAATGCAAGCATACTATCAAGTAAATATAGTTTATTAAATTACTTCATTCAAATTTCTCAGCTTCTGTTTTCTTGATCTCGTTCTACACCATATTACATTTTAATATACATGTATCCAGTTGCATTAATGTTGATTTTCTTTATAGGTACATTATGCCTGAGAAATGTATAAAAAAAATCTTCTTTAGAAAGGGCAAACATGAATTTCATAATACGAGTAAATCTAAATAATGATTTCTGAGCAAGTAAGATGCTTGTAACTTCAAGTAATTAGCGATAAATGCAAAAAAAAATGTGTCACAATTTTTTTAAGTAGAAAAATGTTAACAAAGAAAGTATCAAAATACTAAATCAGTCTAACTATACCAATTGAAACAAGGCAGCAGATAAAAAAAATGGTTCAGGTAATTAGCCAATCAGTAACTTTTTGGAACCTATTAAAGTATACAAAAAAAATCCTTCGAGAAATATAAATAAGAGCATTTCTGAGCCATAATGGGCCTTTAATTTTTTTTGTAAACAATTTGGCAAAATAAATGTTTTATTTTATTATTTATGAAAATTATACAAAATTCATTATTTATTTCGGTAAATTCCGGCAATTAGCATTCTTAAGGTTGTCTTGCTGTAAATGCTATCCCGCCAAAACATTTCTGACATCGGCCAATATCGTAATAAATCGATCATTTCCAGAACGTTATTTTTCACAATCTTCGGTATTCAATAATATTTAGTCGTTTATAACCGGAAAGTAGTGCATAGCAATAAAAGATGAGTGATTGTAAATAATGTAATGCCCAAGATTTTGTAAATAATAACGTTCCGGAAATACGATATTGGCCGATGTTAGAATTTTTTGGCGGATAGAATACCTTCACTAAGGATAAATATATATGGCAAAGGAAAGAATGTTGAACTTTTGTTATTATGTAACTGTTGTACAGAATAGAACAATCAAAATATGGTTTATATGTAAGAAGATAAATGATAAAAATATGTAAATAACAGTTGAATTCCCTTCCATTAAATTGTAAGTGGAAATCAATTTCCTAAAATTAATAAAAATGTTCTATATTTGAAATCAGGTTATTGCCATCCATGTGAAAAAAGCAGAGAAACAGAGAAGTTTAAGGAATACTTGGATTAAAAGGTTTACTTATCTCCGGGAAGTCAGCGCAAAATGACTAGTCATTACGAAGGAGGAAATATAGATGTGAAATATGCTATGAAGTATATTCTTTCGTAAGTCAACTTACATCACACATGAAAAATCACACTAGTGAGAAAAACAATAGATGTGATATATGTGATAAGTCCTTTACCCGTTATAGTAATCTGAAAGCTCATACTCTAATTCACACTGGTGAGAGAAATTATAAATGTGAAAATTGTGAAAAATCATTTTATTCTAAATGTGACCTTAAAAAACATTTTAGAATACATACAGGAGAGAAGAATTTCACTTGTAAAATTTGTGATGTCTCATTCACGTATAGCAGTAATCTTAAAAGACATTTGCAAATTCATACTGGTGAAAAGAACTATGTGTGTGAAATATGTGACAAAGCATTTGCCCGTGGTAGTAGTGTCAAAGAACATATGGTCGTTCACACTGGTACAAAAAACTATAAGTGTGACGTATGTAGTAAATCATTCACTCAAAGAGGTGGTCTTCAAACGCATATGAACATTCACACAGGAATAAAAAAATTTAAGTGTGAAATATGTGACAAAACATTTACCCGTGGCAGTGGTCTCAAAGTACACATGGCCATTCACACTGGTACAAAAAGCCATAAGTGTGACATGTTCAGCAACTCATACACTGAAATAGTTCATCTTCAAAGGCATATGAACATTCACACAGGAATAAAAAAGTATAAGTGTGAAATATGTGAGAAAACATTCGCTCAAAAGTGTGGACTTAAAAGGCATTTGACAATTCACACTGGCCAAAAAGACTTTCAATGTACAATATGTGATAACACATTTACTAGAAAAGAACACCTTAAAACGCATATGTTTATTCACACTGGTGAGAAAAACTATAAATGTGAAAAGTGTGATAAAACATTCTTACAAAAAGGTACATTGAATTCACATATGATTATCCATACTGGCTTGAAAATGTTTAAATGTGATCTTTGTGATAAGTCCTTTACTCGTTATAGTAATCTGAAAGATCATACTCTAATTCACACTGGTGAGAAAAATTATAAATGTGAATATTGTGAAAAATCATTTTATGTTAAACGTGACCTTAAAACTCATTTTAGAATTCATACAGGAGAAAAGAATTTCCCATGTAAAATTTGTGATGTCTCATTCACGCATAGCAGTACTCTTAAAAGACATTTGCGAATTCATACTGGTGAAAAGAACTATGTGTGTAAAATATGTGACAAAGCATTTGCCCGTGGTTGTACTCTCAAAGTACATATGGCCATTCACACTGGTACAAAAAAGCTATAAGTGTGACATGTGCAGTAACTGATTCACTCAAAACGTTCATCTTCAAAATCATATGAACATTCACTTAGGAATCAAAAAGTATAAGTGTGAAATATGTGAGTAAACATTCACTCAAAAGTGTGGACTTAAAAGGCATTTGACAATTCACACTGGCTAAAAAGACTTGAAATGTACAATATGTGATAACACATTTGCTTGAAAAGAATCACTTCAAAAGCATATGTTAATTCACACTGGTGAGAAAAATTATACATGTGATTTCTGTGATAAACATTTTCATTATAAATCTAAATTTACTTCACATATGGCAATTCACACTGGTAAATCGAACTAATTATTTATTATCGTTTTATTATTTTCTTTCAATTGCATACATGTATTTGTAATTTTTTTTATTCTTTCTTCTTTTTTTATAGGGTTTAATTAAAATTATGATAAGCCATGTATTATGTAAACATATTGCTTTTGTTAAAGGAGAGGACTACTTTGAGCTATTGTAGCTCTCGGTCCAATTCCTTTCTGCTTAAATTGTAAATTATTAACATGAATATTTTATCTGAATAAAAATATGTTTAAACCAAATCGAACTAAATATGTCAAATTTGCAAAGCGACCTTCAGGCACTCGGTTTATTTACAAAGGCACATGCAAAAGAACCAAAGTTGGACACAGTTGTGAAATTAGTAATAAATAACTTAAAGATTGGAGGTAAAATGCACAGGGAGCAACGAATCAGTCACAAAAAGTTGTATATGTAATAGACTACATGTAGAACAAAATGTTGCTTACCAGAGGCTCATATAACATGATTTAGCCTCCTCGTTCAATAATTTTAGTATTGCACCTACACTTATTCAATATCCTCTATATACTGTATTTACTAATGTATTGATCTGAAAACGCGATGACATTTGAGTTATTTTTTATTTTTACAAACTTTTGGGACAAGCCAGGTAGATATGTTAATGTAAATTTTGCTCATCTCTGTTTATTGTCATACGACTAAAGACAAGTTGACTGATGACATCACAAGCACATGCTAACAGAATTTAGCAGATATACTGATTGGCAAAAAAGCCAATATTGATAAACATTCTATAGCAGCAGAAAAATTAAATTCTGATAACTTTCTTTATTTGTGGATCAATTTTTGAGAGTCTTATATTATTTGAAAGTTCTTTAAATTCATTTTTTTTTAAATAAGTGAATTTTTACTGTATCTTTCATGTGTTGCCATTTGAAGTGATGTATCCGGCCCAAAGGGTAATGATATTTGCCCAGTTTCCCACATTGTAGTTGCACGGTCGTGCAATACCATTTTTTACGGAGTCGCAAAAGCGCGACGTTGCTATTTAATAATTCACATTCACGCACTCAACTGACAGGTTTAAAATCAAAATACTCGTGGTAATGCACATAACTTGTATGTCTGTTTAATTTTCAAATACTGTGATGTATGTTTGAATTTTCATTTTATTTACTTGTCATAAAGCATTTGTATATGTGAAAAAAATATATGTTTTATGTTATGTTTGTTTATTATCAATATAATGTAAGTAAATATATGGTGTTTGCAAGCAAATTGTTTTGTAAACAATGGACATTGTATTTTGTACAAATCGTAATAAAGTTTTGTTCTGTGTCATTCTGTTTTTATATCGTCTTAAAACTGAAAATATAGATGTTTTTAAAATTTCCTTCACATTTGACGGCATGTATGTATGTATGTATGTATGTATGTATGTATGTTTAATAAGCATTTAAAGCAGATTTCGCTGTCGAGTACGGACGCCGGACATGTCACCAGTCTTGACCTTAAAGGTTGAATTCGTGTAGTTGAAATCATGAACTCATGAAGTTGAAATCATGAACTCATGAAGTTGAAATCGTGAATTCGGGAAGTTGTAATATCCCCACCGGTCTTTCGTAATTAATGTATAAAACTGCTGTAAGTGTGCATCTACTGAAACATTACAGGTAAATTTAGTGTGAATTGAGACCCAAACAAAATCAAACTTCTACAGAAAAAAGGACACAATTTCCAGATAAGTACGAACCAAAGAGCAATTAAAATCATAGATACTAGCCTCTGGTGCCATTTAAATTAAATTCAACTGTTTATTGCAGAAAGCAATGTAAATACAATGACTATACCACAATACTATTAAACATTTCATCGAGAGCACATAGAGTACATAGAATTTGTTTACATGCATCTTCATATATACTCATATTCCTCTTTGTTAAACTGACAGAACTGGCTTGACTTCCATAACTTTATATGTCACTTTTATTTTGATGTTCGCTGAAATCTTTTCAGCTAACAGAACTGTTATTTTTACATTTAAACACATCCCTCGAAAAAATAACGAAGCGAGTCGCTACTAGCTTTTTTAAAAGCTAACCTTGTACCAAGTTAAAATTTAAATTAAATTTGCTTCCTTGAATTTTTTGTGCCATCGGAGGTGTGAATTAACTTGACTCGAACCCATGATCCCTTGGTGGAGTATGCATACTCCTTGATTGATTGCATAAGAAAAATCCAAACAATAAACTGTCAGCTCCTTATTTTAGAATTTGAAATTTTTATTTGTTTTCTTTGAATTCCTTATCAGTTACAAATTATTTCCTATTTTTTCAATCATTTATTTGTTTTCTTTGAATTCCTTATCAGTTACATTTATTTATCATTTTATTGATAAGCTGTCCGTGCTCTGCCTTGTGCTTTGTCCTGATTTTGTTTGGGGTCCGCCTGTGCTCCTTGCCACTGGTTCTTGTTGCTGGGTCGTGTGGCGGCTGCGAGCATTGAATGTCGCCTTTCCTTGTTGATCTTGTTTAACATATATTAAATGCTTTCTTTCAATATGAAAATATCAACAAAATATATTGTATATACAAACAGCAGGAATAAGGTAGGAGCAGTGCCCTTGGGAATACTTAACAAATATAAACAATACATAGAAAGAAGCGAATAAAGACGATGGTGATGTTATAAAGTTATGTTTTATTAACATTATTGAATAAAGCAAAATAAATACAGAGATATTGAGGATCAAACAAGTTTAAGTTTAATGATCAGTAGTTTTACAAAGTTTAAATTTTAATTCAATTTGCTTTCTAGAATTTTTATAGAAATTCCACTCGGAGGTGTGAGTTAACTTGACTCGAACCCACGACACTAAGTTGAGTAAGCATACTCCTTAATTGTTAGACCATCGCTTCTCTAAAAGATTAATTGCATAAGAAAAATCTAATTAGCAATTAAAATCATGAATACTAGCTTATGGTGAAATTAAAATTAAATTCAAATGTTTCTTGCATAAAGCAATGTGAATACAATACCTATAACACAATACAATTTAACATTTCATCACATGGAACACAGAGAGTTCAGAAAAGACAATAATAATGTAACATTCATGACGAGTTACGGCCCTTTAATACAAGAACGCCATTTGTAGGTAAACATACCCTTACACAATAAACGTTGCACCATAAACTATATGTTTTTAAGGTAAGTTTGTTATTTTTCTGTTGTAAATAATAATGCGAGTATTCCTTTGATGTAATTTTAATGAAATGTATAAATAGTTTCTACTACAATGTTTTAATAGACATTATTTGTAATGCTATATGATCTTTATAACAATCATAGAAATCACTTTGCCTAGTGGGAATTTTGAACAGCCATTTTGGGAATTAAAACATAAGAAATTGGGAATTTTAATGTATATTTTCTATTGGGAACAGTACCTTTTCAGGGTAGTAGTTATACACAGAAAAAAACACTGTATATATAGGCTGTTATCCGTAACGCTACCGGAGAGGATAGTAGAAAGTAAATCGGGTTGCAGGATATTTGTTGGATAATTGTTTTGAGGTAAATAAAACAAAAGCATAGAAAAAACGAGCATAGTATAATAGAATAGATGTGCATCGAGACTTCCGGGGGTTAAAATAGATATACCCTATTTATGTATATTTACTCTTTTCATAACTAAACAGGAAACAATTGAAGAGTCGATAATTAGTGCATGCTAACTGTATAAAAAGTCGGGCTTAGTAAGTCAAAACATCACTATGTAGCGCGCGTCTTAAATATCTTGACTCAAGTATATCAGAAATATTTTCAATTAATAACCTGGAATGCAAGCATACTATCAAGTAAATATAGTTTATTAAATTACTTCATTCAAATTTCTCAGCTTCTGTTTTCTTGATCTCGTTCTACACCATATTACATTTTAATATACATGTATCCAGTTGCATTAATGTTGATTTTCTTTATAGGTACATTATGCCTGAGAAATGTATAAATTTTTTCCTCTTTAGAAAGGGCAACATGAATTTCATAATACGAGTAAATCTAAATAATGATTTCTGAGCAAGTAAGATGCTTGTAACTTCAAGTAATTAGCGATAAATGCAAAAAAAAAATGTGTCACAAAAGTAGAAAAATGTTAACAAAGAAAGTATCAAAATACTAAATCAGTCTAACTATACCAATTGAAACAAGGCAGCAGATAAAAAAATGGTTCAGGTAATTAGCCAATCAGTAACTTTTTGGAACCTATTAAAGTATACAAAAAAATCCTTCGAGAAATATAAATAAGAGCATTTCTGAGCCATAATGGGCCTTTAATTTTTTTTGTAAACAATTTGGCAAAATAAATGTTTTATTTTATTATTTATGAAAATTATACAAAATTCATTATTTATTTCGGTAAATTCCGGCAATTAGCATTCTTAAGGTTGTCTTGCTGTAATGCTATCCCGCCAAAACATTTCTGACATCGGCCAATATCGTAATAAATCGATCATTTCCAGAACGTTATTTTTCACAATCTTCGGTATTCAATAATATTTAGTCGTTTATAACCGGAAAGTAGTGCATAGCAATAAAAGATGAGTGATTGTAAATAATGTAATGCCCAAGATTTTGTAAATAATAACGTTCCGGAAATACGATATTGGCCGATGTTAGAATTTTTTGGCGGATAGAATACCTTCACTAAGGATAAATATATATGGCAAAGGAAAGAATGTTGAACTTTTGTTATTATGTAACTGTTGTACAGAATAGAACAATCAAAATATGGTTTATATGTAAGAAGATAAATGATAAAAATATGTAAATAACAGTTGAATTCCCTTCCATTAAATTGTAAGTGGAAATCAATTTCCTAAAATTAATAAAAATGTTCTATATTTGAAATCAGGTTATTGCCATCCATGTGAAAAAAGCAGAGAAACAGAGAAGTTTAAGGAATACTTGGATTAAAAGGTTTACTTATCTCCGGGAAGTCAGCGCAAAATGACTAGTCATTACGAAGGAGGGAAATATAGATGTGAAATATGCTATGAAGTATATTCTTTCGTAAGTCAACTTACATCACACATGAAAAATCACACTAGTGAGAAAAACAATAGATGTGATATATGTGATAAGTCCTTTACCCGTTATAGTAATCTGAAAGCTCATACTATAATTCACACTGGTGAGAGAAATTATAAATGTGAAAATTGTGAAAAATCATTTTATTCTAAATGTGACCTTAAAAAACATTTTCGAATACATACAGGAGAGAAGAATTTCACATGTAAAATTTGTGATGTCTCATTCACGTATAGCAGTAATCTTAAAAGACATTTGCAAATTCATACTGGTGAAAAGAACTATGTGTGTGAAATATGTGACAAAGCATTTGCCCGTGGTAGTAGTGTCAAAGAACATATGGTCGTTCACACTGGGACAAAAAACTATAAGTGTGACGTATGTAGTAAATCATTCACTCAAAGAGGTGGTCTTCAAACGCATATGAACATTCACACAGGAATAAAAAAATTTAAGTGTGAAATATGTGACAAAACATTTACCCGTGGCAGTGGTCTCAAAGTACACATGGCCATACACACTGGTACAAAAAGCCATAAGTGTGACATGTTCAGCAACTCATACACTGAAATAGTTCATCTTCAAAGGCATATGAACATTCACACAGGAATCAAAAAGTATAAGTGTGAAATATGTGAGAAAACATTCGCGCAAAAGTGTGGACTTAAAAGGCATTTGACAATTCACACTGGCCAAAAAGACTTTCAATGTACAATATGTGATAACACATTTACTAGAAAAGAACACCTTAAAACGCATATGTTTATTCACACTGGTGAGAAAAACTATAAATGTGAAAAGTGTGATAAAACATTCTTACAAAAAGGTACATTGAATTCACATATGATTATCCATACTGGCTTGAAAATGTTTAAATGTGATCTCTGTGATAAGTCCTTTACTCGTTATAGTAATCTGAAAGATCATACTCTAATTCACACTGGTGAGAAAAATTATAAATGTGAAAATTTGTGAAAAATCATTTTATGTTAAACGTGACCTTAAAAACTCATTTTAGAATTCATACAGGAGAAAAGAATTTCCCATGTAAAATTTGTGATGTCTCATTCACGCATAGCAGTACTCTTAAAAGACATTTGCGAATTCATACTGGTGAAAAGAACTATGTGTGTAAAATATGTGACAAAGCATTTGCCCGTGGTTGTACTCTCAAAGTACATATGGCCATTCACACTGGTACAAAAAAGCTATAAGTGTGACATGTGCAGTAACTGTTTCACTCAAAACGTTCATCTTCAAAATCATATGAACATTCACTTAGGAATCAAAAAGTATAAGTGTGAAATATGTGAGTAAACATTCACTCAAAATGGTGCACTTAAAAGGCATTTGACAATTCACACTGGCCAAAAAGACTTTACATGTACAATATGTGATAACACATTTGCTAGAAAACAATCACTTAAAAGGCATATGATAATTCACACTGCCTTGAACAATTTTAAATGTGATCTATGTGATAAACATTTTCATTATAAATCTAATCTTACGTCACATATGAAAAGTCACACTGGTAAATCGAACTATAGATGTCAAATTTGTAATGCGGCCTTCAGGCACTCGGGTAATTTAAAAAGGCACATGCAAAAGAACCATGTTGGACACAGTTGTGAAATTAGTAATAAATGACTCATATATAGGAGGGAAAAAGCAAATGACATAGGAGCAATGAATCAGTCACAAAACGTTGTATATGTATATACTACATGAAGTACAAAATTTTGCATGTTATATATAGAGGATATTGCATGAATATAAGTTAAATACTAAATCTATTGAACGAGTTGGATAAAATCATATTATACGAGCCGGTGGCGAGCATAGTATTGTTTTTTCTTCAACGATTTCAATAAATTTAGTATTGAAACTACGTGAATATATAATATTCTTTTTGTTTTATATATAAAATAAGGACGATTAACTGTTAAAAAGAGTCATTATTCAGTGTCGCACCTATAGTGTAACGCTAACATTGGGGCGCTGTGAGTGTTTGTGCCTGTGCGTGTGCGCGTGCGCGTGTGTATGGGTGGGAGGGTGGTTGTGTGTGTGTGTGTTATTTATACTGGGCGCCGGCTTTTGCCATATGCCACAGACTAAAAGCCTGCAACAGAGGACTTAGTTCGCCTTCAACGTTGCTGATCGTAGAGCCGCAACGTAGGTCTTCTTATGCCGCCTTTCGTCGTAGATCTTCACTAGGACCCAGTTCTTCAATCTTGAACGCAGTTGACAATATAGAGGAAAGGCACCTCATCCGGGAGCAGCAGCTCTTTGTAGGACCACATCCTTCGCCGTTGGTTAGGTCACACAAGCTTTGTGACCTAACTAGGTCAACCATCTGGTGTGACCTATGCCCTCCGAGCGATGTGCACACCGCGAAGGGAAGTCGGAGGATTTGAGCGCTTTATCGCTATGTTTTTATATATAGCGCAAAATTAATGACGTCACGTGTTATTACACTAGTGTAATATCGTTTTTATATATACACCAGCGCCGAGGTTTATGAGACAAGTGACGTGCTGATTTTGCGACTAGGTAAAAGTGATATTGCAGGACCGTGACGTGACGTCATTAACGTTACGTAAACATAGTGTAAAGACGCGCTTAGTTCTAGTTTTACACTACTGTATAGGCATCTCACTGAAAAATGATTATTTTTGCACTTTACACAGTTTTTATTTAGTTATGTGATAAATACAATAATAATTATATTCGTGTATGTTTATTACTGAATTTATTGATAACGTTGAACGAAATAATATTTGGCTTACCAGAGGCTCACATAACACGATTTTATTAAATTTAGTATTGAACCTACACTCATTCTCTATATATTGTATTTACTGATGTATTGATCTGAAAACGCATTTGGGTTATTTTTTATTTTTGCAAATCTTTGGGACACGCCATGTAGATGTTATTGTAAATTGTGTTAACCTTTGTTTGTTTATTGTCATTCGACTAAAGATGACATCACAAGCACCTACTACCAGACTTTAGCAGATATACTGATTGGCAAAAAATCCATTATGATATACATTTTATAGCAGCAGAATTTTTTTAATTCTGATAAAAACAAATTATTTGTGGATCGATTTTTGAGAGTCTTATATTATTTAAAAGTTCTTTAAATTCATTTTATTTTTGAAAAAATATGTTGATTTTAATTGTATCTTTAATGTGTGATGTATTCGTCCCAAAGGGTAATGACATTTGCCGAGATGTCGACAATGAAGTTGCACGGTCGTGCAATACCATTTTTTACGGAGTCGCAAAAGCGCGACATCTATTTGATAATTCACATTAACGCACTCAACTGACAGGCATGTTTAAAATCAAAATAATCGTGATAATGCACACGACTTATATGTCTGTTTAATTTTGAAATACTGTGGTACATGTTTGAATTTTTTATTTTATTTGTCATAAAGCAGTTTTATATGTGAACATAATTATATATTTATGTTATGTTTGTTTATTATCAGTATTCATTCACGTAAATATATAATGTAAGTAAACAAATTGTTACGTAAATGATTTTTATTGCATTTTGTACAAATCGTAATAAAGTTTTGTTCAATGTCTTTCTGTTATTATAGCGTCTTAAAACTGAAAACATAAATGTTTTGAAACTTTGTTCACATTAATTTTGACGGCATGAAATTGAACAACTTTATTTTATAAAACAAAAGTGCACCAAAAACATGATTGGGTTTTACGTGATATCAACACAGGTCATATGGCGAAGTTCCACCTACACTGGTGGAAGAAGACCTCGGGTGCCCTTACGTGCATTATTTCAGGAACAAACAGGCACCTGAGTAGAATCACCGACGTTCCCTGAGCTAGCTGGATAGCTTCCTCAAATGAAAGAATCCGAAGTCGCTGTCGGGATTCGAACCCACAGCGGTGAGGGGCAAGTGGTTTTTAATTATTTTCTCTGGTACAATGTAATACACATCTTACATTCCCTAAGACAGTTATTTAAATGAGATAAAACTAATGTTTGTCCTTCTGAAAGAAGAAAAATTTCATTCGTTTCTCAGGCATAATGTGCCTTTAAAGTAACATTATGCCATGTAAATGGTATAGGTAACTGTCTATACAAATATATTGTATCGGTAGTGTAAATTATTTTAAAAAAGAAGGACAGTCTTTTGGCATTTTTCATCCGCAACATTTATTATTATGAATCGTTGGTCAATGACCATTATGATAGTAAATCTTCTGAAAAAATAAAGTTTATTCAGCTTAACCTAAAAGTGAAAAAAAAATGAGCAAAATGTCTCTCATGCTTAGTAATTCTTTTCGGGCTCATGCTTTTAGCGAATGTTATCAAATATAAAGAAGTCAAGCATATGTTTGCTTTTAGATAAATCCTGCTTCCGTTTAAAACATACTTTGGCTAAATCATTAATACCCACTGTCCTGTCCGGTATAACCATTTTCCTTTCAACAATATTTATTAAACACTCAAACATTTGCTTCCAAACACTTTGTCTATTTAAATGTTTGTGTCCATTTCATTGGCGGCTGTTATAATTTTATGAAAAAGTAAAAGTCCATTGTTTACAGTTTTGAAAGTGCTTTTGCCTTCAAACGTAATGTTTTTCGCAAAATCTTCCCTGACAGTGTCCGTGGGATTTCGTCAACAAATTCGACCCCTCCCCTCAACCGCATATGCGGTGATACCTTATCTGAAATTAAAAAAAATATATGAACAAACTACGATAAATAATGAAAATAATAATAAAATATGCAAATTAAATAGATTTTTAGAATATGAAAGCAAATCACAAATGAAATTATTTAGCAAAATACACTGATTTTCACTGCAGACCAATGTTTTTTGGTTTTGTATTCGTAGATCTACTTGTTTTTTTTTTTGTTTTTTTTTTTTTTTTTTTTTTTAATATAATATCATTATCGCATGGTGCCGTGACATTTCTTTGATGTTCCTAGTTTAGTTTAAACAAGTTTATTGTATATATATATATACATACATACATACATACATAAATACATTAATGTAAATAAACAAAAGGGTTTGGCCAAAAGTTATAACAACATTATCGGGGGCCCTCCCCTGAATATTTCTTTGATGTTCCTCAACTGTTAAAGGCCAGTAACATGCTTTTTTCTGAAATGATAGTCAAAAGTCAAGACGTGTCAAAACAATAAAACAAACATCAAAATATAATTCTACTTGAAACGTATAGAAACGTGTACACCAATGCGCGCTTACTAAACATACCGTTTACGTATTTGACGATTTCTGCTTCTGTAATACGCTTTCCAGCCTTTTTTACGACATAAGCTCTAGGAAGTTCTCCCGCTTCCTCATCCGGGACCCCAATAACGCCTACGTCAGCAATTGCGTCATGATGTAGTAAAATATCTTCTAAGGTAGCCGGGGCAACTTGAAGACCTTTATATTTGATCAACTCTTTCAGTCTGTCTACAACGTACATATAGCCGTCTTCGTCCTCCTTCCCGATGTCACCTGATACCGAAAAAAAAACATTTGAGCCGCGTCACGACAAAACTAAAATATTGGGTTTGCGACCAGCATGGATCCAGACCAGCCTGCGCATCCGCGCAGTCTGTTCAGGATCCATGCTGTTCGCTATCAGTTTCTCTACTTGTAATAGGGTTTGTAAGCGAACAGCATGTATTCTGATCAGACTGAGCGGATGCGTAGGCTGGTGTGGATCCATGCTGGTCGCAAACGCATTACGTTGTTTTTTATCATGACGCGGCTCATTTATAAGTTATGATACTGTCTTACGCGACCTTCCAGGGAACTTTCATAAGAAGGCCACATAAGACAGGGAGTCTCTTAATACAGGTTTATTTGTTCATAATGCTTGGATGTTTGATAGTATAGACTCCCTGTCTTCCTCTTATGTGTAGTTATTCAGTCAAGTTTTGAAGTATGATATAAAGACAGTTTTGACGAAATGATTATAAGGGACAACTTTCTTCTAAATTCAGCCAGTACACAGAAATTATTTGAGAGTCTTACAATTTGTAAGGTCAAAAAGACAAGTGTATATAGTAAACGGAAATTCAAGGTTTTTTTGTGTTTTTTTTTTCTCGATAAAAACAGGATTTATTTCATCCTGCAATATGAAAGTTATCATATTTCGTGGCTACCACAACTTATGAAATTTTCGATGAATTTATACAAATAAACTTAAATACCCTCTATCTGTTCTCTTTTTATTCCGTGGACACAAAGACAAAGGTTTTTTTTCACAAACTAGTACTGGTGTAACTCTCCGATGGCTAGGAAACTACTCGCCTATAGATATGACTGAAATACTGTTTGGAAAAGGCGTAAAATGAGACAAACAAACCTGTTCTTGCCCATCCGTCTGCGGTGAAAAAGTTTTTATTCTCTTCCGGTAAATTGAGATAGCCGAGACAAAGCTGGGGTCCCCTGACCCAAATTTCACCTTCTTCGTTGATCCCAAGCGTTTTACCAGTTTCAACATCAACAATCTAATAGAAAAAACATGGTTTTTCATTTCATAAATGTGTTCAGACTTGTACAAAATATAATTGGTTCATTTTACAACTTTATCTGTGTAATTTAATTATGACACATTCAATAATTATAGAGAAATGGACAAACGCCTAAGATATTTTAAAGTCTTGTAGGTCAAGTTCTGTTTTACGAATATAATATAAAATATGTTGAATGTTTTTTCTAAGTAACAAGCTTTTTGAACAGTTGTGTTAAAGGAACTCCACTGAGGTCAAAAGGCCCGAAAACATAAAATTTATTGTTGGTTTTACGAAGGATCCTAAAATGGAAAAATCTGCAAATTTAAAGGACAATAAAGAATTTTATTGAGAATGTAATTGAAAATCGATAATGAGTGCATTTTTCAGACCGATTTGAGTGAAAAGCGTTGCAACGTTTTTCTCTTCTTTTTTTCTCTTTTTTTTGGGTGGGGGTGGGTGGGTGGGGTCATTTTGCACAATAAAAAGTATTATTCTGAGAAAACATGGTAAAGACCTTTATCAAATGGGACACAACTATTTTAAAATATCAACTCGGTCATGTCAAAACAAACAAAAACTCATTGGTGTCCCTTTAATTAACTAAGCTAAATTCAAGCAATAACAAATAATTTATGATGAAATATCAGAATGAAAGTTGCTCCTTCCACGGAAGTCAGATCAAGAAAAATGCTTTGATTTCTATCCTGTTACATCAATCGGGAATTTAATATTTTAGAAAAAAAAATGTCTGAAAGTAAAAGATGTAAGAAAATATAAGTTCACATACCTTCATTTCCACTAGAGGTAGGCGTCTCCCAACTGACTTGTATCTAAAGTCTTCCTTTCCATTCGCATGCGTCACTCCAACCTCGGTCATTCCATATCCTAAAAAAAGAACCATTTACACGTGTCTTTTTCATAATTTTGATAGCATAATATTACGGTGTCCCGTTAGGGCCAATGCGACACACTCATAGCTCGAAACAACGAAAACACGATACTACATTGATGAAAATTTTAAAAAAACGAACCACGATGGTAAAAAGTCGAAGATAGGATGATGAAAAGTCGAAAGTACAATACGAAAAATTAAAATAACAAATTCACGATGGTGAAAACACAATATAATTTCGTGTTTTTACCATCGTACTTTCGACCTTTCACCAACGTTGTTTCGTTGTTTCGACTTTTACTAAAACTTACTTCTAATCTGCACGGAAATATACACAGACAGACTTTATTTTAGTTCGATTGTGTAAAGCTTTATGCATTTAGACGCAGTTTCAAATCCGTCCCTGGAACCAATAAGTACTAAGCGATTGGTGGAAGGAAACAACGACTTGCCCCTGATGGGGTTTGAACCCACACGGCTAGCGATCCTTAGCTAGATTACTAACGTAAGATTACCGACGCGTTAACCACTGTGCCATTCCACGCCTATCTTACTGTCAAATATTTCTAATATATTGTGTATCTATATGGGTCATTTTCCTATTTGATTTTAAGCAATAATTATGATGATTAAAAAATATCCATAAAAATGATTTAAAATGATGACACAATATCAATTATATAACTCGGCAATTCCTAAAATGGGAACTTTCGCAAAAAAAATCGGGTGGAATAATATTATTGTAGTTTTTCACCTTGTATAATACAGGGCAGTTTTAACTTTCTCTTCACCATATCTTCTATCTCCTGACTCAGTGGCGCCGCCCCACAAACCACAGATTGAATGGAGGATAAATTATAATCGGATACCTTCGGATACTTTGAGAACATCACCATAACTGGCGGTACGACTTGTAACATGTTTGGCTGGAAAAGAACAATATTTATAACTTATTGCACTATGGTTTATACGAGGGCTGATTGGCATCAGCGTGTGACAACGTGGCATCGGCGTGCTTCAAGTGTAGGATAGTGTAGTGTTTTGATTTTGCATGTAAACTTAATTGTTCAATATATCTCAATGATTTATTTGGCTTTTTGTCAGTCGAGAGTAAAGGTATCTCGTGGTGTAATCTATTTTGTAGTTTTTCTTTTAAAGATTTAATACAATTCCACGAATTCACCAATCAGCCCTCGTACTAGGAATACATTTTGAATTTTGCATGAAAATTAATTTCAGGCCGTTAACAGCAACCGAAGCAAAGGATGGTTCAGGACATAAGTCAGCGAGTAAACTTTTAGAAACTTTAACAAGACACCAAAACTACATAAATTTTGGAAATAAAAATAAAAACATTTCTAAAGCATAATGGGCCTTTAAGGGAATATTGTATTAGATACGACAATGTAAAAATCTATTGGTCAATATGTGAATGAAATTTGAGCCGCGTCACGAAAAACCAACATAGTGCGTTTGCGACCAGCATGGATCCAGACCAGCCTGCGCATCCGCGCAGTCTGATCAGGATCCATGCTGTCCGCTTACCAACTCTATTACAAGTAGAGAAACTGATAGCAAACATCATGGATCCTGATCAGACTGCGCGGGTGCGCAGGCTGGTTTGGATCCATGCTGGTCGCAAACGCTTTATATTGGTTTTGTCGTGACGCGGCTCATTTATGCTGATACAAAACATGTATTTGAGTTAAATCGGTAAGCTTTATCTAAAATCGATTTGTAAACAAACGGATTCATTGCACAATAATTATAATATTTTACCAGATGTAGCAACTGGAACTTTGAAGACAAAGTTACAATGCGTAAGTTACCTTATATTTCTGTATCAGCCGAAGGTAGTCGTCGGGCACGAAACGTGACATGATGACGATTTTCGCGCCGATCACGTGACACAGAAGTGTGACAGTGTAGAGACCATACATGTGAAACAGCGGCAGAAACATTATATAACAGTCGTCTGCTTTTGCCAAACCTACAGCCCTGTATATATATAATATATAAAATAGACAAATCGTACAATTTCGTAAATATTCGGAACATTCCGTCACTTCACGTGTATAACCGAAATTTGAAAAGAGTATATGTGAACAGAAATGATATTGAAACATGGAGAAATAACTGTTTCCAGAGAAAAAAATGTATGATACAGAAGCGTACGGTGTCCCGTCAAGGCACACAAATAATTTGAAACAACGAAAACACGAAATAACGATGGTGAACAGTCGAAATAACGAAACCACGATGATAAAAGTCAAAGGAGTCAAGGTACGATGATGAAAAGTCAAAAGAACGATGTTGAAAAGTCGAAATAACAAAAGCACAATGGTGAAAAGTCGATATATTTTCGTGTGAGTTGCGATGGCCCTGAAGGACACCGTAGAAACGTACAACTATTTATTGAAAAATATGCCTAATAACAATATTGTCACTTTCCTAAACAATTTATACTATTGATGATATTATATATATTTGAAAATATTTCCAAAACGAAATGCACATTATTATTGCCTGTGCAACTACATATATTATATTATATTTTTAACTTTGTTCATTTTTATGTAAAGTATTTGGTATACAACGACAGTATTTGCTTAATTACTTTTGTTGTAAAGTATTTCTATTATGATAGAATAATATTTGTTTTATTACTTATGTTGTAAAGTATTTGCTATAAAACCAAAATATTTGCTTTATTACTTTTTTTGTAAAGTATTTACTATAAAAACATGATATTTGCTTTATTACTTTTGTTGTAGTGTATTTGCTATAATAGCATAATGTTTGCTTTATTACTGTTGTTGTAAAGTATTTGCTATAATAAAAGCATAATATTTGCTTTATTACTTTTGTTGTAAAGTATTTGCTATAATTTGCTATAAAAGAATAATTTGCTTTTGTTGTAAAGTATTTGCTATAAAACCATGATATTTGCTTTATTACTTTTGTTGTTATGTATTTGCTATAATAGCATAATATTTGCTTTATTACTTTTGTTGTAAAGTATTTGCTACAATAGCATAATGTGAAAGCATCACAGCTTTGGGGAATCCCGTAGTTCCTGATGACGACATATACGCCACGACGTCATTTTTAGCGTCACACGCGGGCGATGTATACCGTCCGTCACTGTTTTGAATTAGAGACTCGAACGTCACGTGACCTTGTGATTTCCCGAAAACAATAACCTAAAGATGAAAAAGAAAAAATATAATGAAGATATTGCTATTGGCCAATTAATGTAGAATGGATAATGCATATAAAAAGGTAGCAAAAAGGCATTTGAAATTATTTTAAATATTATTTAGATTTTTAGCAATTAGCGTGTACATCAAGTTTAAATCTAGTTCTTAATATATTAAAAAAAAGGTTGCAAGATGAAAGCGGTGTAATCATTTGATCATAGAAGAGACAAAATTTGGACATGATACTATTTGAAGAGGAGACCTCACATTCGTGCATGTTCAATGTATAAACAAATCAATTTTCTTTCTTTTTGTTTATTTTTCCTAGAAAAAAACGACTGCGGCATGTTAGAATACCCATTTCATGTTCAAGGGATGTTATGCGTGTATGTGGCATCGTTATGCACGCAAAGTTAAAACAAAATTTCATCTGAATCTCAGAGGGACTTTTAGATAATTGTATTATTTAAACAAAAAATCACCTTCACATTTGTGCCACGAACGGCTTCTTCGACTTTAGACAGGTGTTCCGGGACGGTCATAATAAACTTGGTATTGCACTGTTTGATCACCCTTTTTATGTCATCTAGAAATAAACCAATTGTTTTACATGGTTATAGTCATGTAGAAATAATTGGAAACTACATGTATATGCTTGAAACATACTTAAAGTTTACAGTGCCATAAAAAGTAGTAATAGGACATAATGCGATTTTTACTTTCAAGATTTTTCCAGGAAATATTTTCATGGTTTTAAACTCCTCTTAGGAATTATTATGCGAAAATTTTCAGATGAAAAAAAAAGATACTTAGTTAATCTGATTTGTTTACAGTATAAAGTTGTTTTTTTGATATAAGAAAAAAATGATTACTTAGTCAAATGTAAATCATATGCTCCCTTCTTTCCTGTTTTCGTAAATGTAATACATGTAATATATTTTCTTTCCTTTTACAGACATTTTAATTTTTGTAGTACACTTACGAACCGGAAGTTACCACCCATACTGGGTAACGCCCGCTATATATAATCGGTGCAAACATTATATAATTTAGGCACCGTTTAATATCGCAATGTAAGCACTTTCAAATATGTATTGCGGCCGTTTTTAATCAGATTTTATGCAATAATCTACCTTTAAATGTCGCGAAATAAATGTTAAAATTAAACTTAATTAAGATAGCATGTTAGAGAGAGTAGTTTGTATGACCCTTTGTTGACCTTGTGTTGGACTTATCTTGCTCGATAACTAAACAGTCGACATTTTAAAGCAATGGCCCGAAGAGTGCTTATACTTGCCATTCATTTAAGTTACATGGAGATCATGATGTACGTAGTTTTAATGGTCCATTAAGAAAAACAATTATAACGCTTAATTTAATGTAGGGTTTAATTCTTAAAGTAAAAAATGTAGGATGCCAGTCGAAATGTAGCTGCTCTCTAATGTTTTAACAGTGGCATAGTTTTCGGTGTATTTATGATACATATATTTTTGGCTCGTGCTAGAAATGGCGGGAAAATGACAAACGAAATATATAACATTATCTTATGTTTTGTGGATAAATTAACGATACTAAACCTCGTGTATATAGTGGATTAACCGGTTGGAAAGTTGCTGTAATCAGTGCAGTGGCGTAAAAAGCCACCATGTAGTCCGTATGGTTTGGTGACAAAATGCATATGACGTCGCCTTTACGAACGCCCAATTTCTGGAGTCCGGACGCCGCACGTTCAGTCAAGTGTATCAATTCTCCATAGCTTATATTCCTGTCGGTGTTAGCGTCAACCTAGGTGATAAAAGTGTATGATATACAAGAAAAAGCGATGATGCATAGGATATTTCAAAACAATATCTAGCTTGTATATGTCCTTTTTAGTGCATGAAAAATATGTTCATAACTATAGTTTATTTATTTTTAAAAATAAACATCTGCTAGTGTAATATTTTATGGTATAATTGTTGAGTACAATACAAAATTCTATTGGACGAGTACATAGCTGTCAAACCTGTATTGTACTGGTCGCTAGCTGGGTCTTATATAGCTTTTACAGCTGTGTACGAGTCTAATATTATCAGTATTGTACCCAACAATGCATAATGACATCTTTATTTCACAGCACTAAAGTTTTGACATTTTGACAAAACATGGTCACTCCTCGTAAAATGGCGGTAGCTTTTTTGGTGTTTGATCTTGAATTTAAGCGCCTTTTGACTGTGTAAATTACTTTTTTTGTTCACTTCACAATATTTTACTTTCAAATACATTTTGAAACTTTTCATGAAAATTTGCATGAATCTGGAGGCATGCTGCTTTAAAACAGACTGACATACATATAAAGAAAGATATCGAAAATTACGAAAATGATGACCATAATAAAACATAGTTTTTAATTCCACGCAAACGTTGTTTCAGGCTAAGATATTTAGTAAAAAAAATAATCATTTTTTATTCGGTTAAACGAATTATTGATCGCCTTTGATTTAGGGAATATCATATATATATAGTCGGCGCTTCCGTGCTAATTTATGATCTTTGACCCTGTCCAGGTATCTCATGACTTAATGATACAAGATTTCTACCATTGTAACTATTTAAAGTGTTTTATAGTGTCCGTTAAACCAAATAAATTATAAATATATGAATATTTATAAGATTTTTGCCATGTGTTATCGTAAGTTATAAAAAAGAACCTTCTCGAGTTTTCGACCTTATTAAATAGATACATATACACTGAAATAAAAAGGTGACCTGTAACAGAAACCAACAAAATAGAGATTTTTTATTGGGTTTTACGTCGCACCAACACAGTACAGGTGATATCGCGACGTTCCAGCTTCACTGGTGGAGGATAACCTCAGGCGCCCCTCTGTGTGTTAATTCAGGCACGAACAGGCACCTGAGTAGAACCACCGACGTTCAATAAACTGGTTGGATAGTTATCTTACATAGACGAATCCAAAGTCGATGGTGCGGCTCGAACCCACAGAGGTGATAGTCAAGTGGTTTGAAGTCAAAGACCTTTAAACCTAATTTTAAAGATTTTAAAGATACAACTTACCATTGCGATAGATTTCCTGTCATGTTTTCTCATACTATCTAACACGAATTTCCCTAAATTCATGCATGGTATATCCTCAAGTTTTAATTGCGGTAGTCCCATATTTTATTTTTATTCTACAAAGCACGAAAATTTAAAGAAACTAATCCTAATTTGTTAACCTGAATATTAAAAAGTTAAATTCACTACCCGTGATAGCTATGCTATATAAAGATATATATTCTCGGTGAGTTAATTTGGCCTAGATATAGAACATTTGTGATTACGAGACATAATTTTCATAAACCCACTTCCCGAGATAACTACACTATATTTGCTTTAGTTTTATATAGACTCCCGTGTCAGCGAGATCTCTTTAAAGGCCCATTATGCCTAGGATATGCTATCATTTTCATTTCTCAAAAAAAAAAAAAATTTTGTTACCAGTTCTGCTACAGTTTCAAAAAATAGCTAATTCGGTATATAAACTTTCTTTTACTTCTTTTGTAAAATTACCAATTGGTATAATTAAAGTGAATTAGTTTTTTGTATGGAAATCAAAATACAACTTTGTTTACATTTTGCGACCTTTATGACACATTACTGCACCTTCTGTGCTACTTTCTTCAGTTGTTAAACATCTAAGATGCACTTAGTTCATTATTAAAACATTTTAAACAAATATTTGACACTTCTAAATATTTGAATAAAAATGGATTTATGAGGCAAAATGTGCCTTTAAAGCAGCATACCTCCAAGTTCATTTTGAAAATGTAATAAAAAATAAAAATATTGTCATATTAACAAATAAAGTAATTTATACATTTCAAACCGCACTTTAAATCCAATTATATTACCAAATAAAGGTCTAAATATTCAAAAATAGCCCTAAGTGCGTTAGTCACGCAGTAAAAATATGGTGATAAATACTGCAAAATCAGTCATTCGTTGATAAAAGCTTGTAAATCATTGTTTAAATTATGAATATTTTTAATTTTCTTAACATTTTCGTGCATTTTTCTCAAAGTTGATTTTCTTGAATTACTTTTGCTCATCTGGAGGCATGCAGCTTTAACCTTATTTTATAGTTTAATTTGGTCATGATAACTTAAAGAAATAAGGTCGATTATGCCTAAGAAATTCTTTTGTTTATATATATCTTATTTTTTGGTGTACAGAAATTACTCATTTGATATTTTCTGAACCATCTTTTGCTTCTATTGCCCATGGTAAGTAGTTTGTTTTTCATAGTGGTTTAGTAATTAGTATGGAAGTGAAAATACTTCTTTTATTATTTTTGCTACTTTTACAATCTGATTAAAATCAGCAACTCATTAACGCTACTTATTTATAAGTTGATCAACGTTGTTCCGTTTGGACTATCGTGATTTTTTTTATTTATTCCCTACCCGCGATGCACGATGGTACGATGGTGAAAACGCGATGGTACGATGACACGATGATGAAAACACTATGGTGAAATTGCGATGTCGCGATGGTGAAAACGCAGTGTTATAATTATCGCGTTTTCATCATCGTACCATCATGCATCGCGTACATACTAAATAAAAATTCACGATTGTCTATAGATCTGTTCTTTACTCTGATTGGCCACTTATTTCCCATTAAATGATACTCTCGCCAGGCGGTAAGCATTTAACATGCTCTAAAAGCATTATTTTAACGTTATAAAACATATATATGCTTTTCAAAAAAGAAGGAGAAATATTTATATCTGATGATAAGATGTGCCTTTAATCTTATGCGTATTGAGTCCTAGATAAAAACATACATTCAATATAACCATGTGGCCTATTTCCATGTGGAGTTCTAGTTTAACAGTGTGCTTTTGATAAGATGTTACGTCATACGGTGCAATTTTAACACAAGTCAAGACACTTTTTTGAATTTTTAAATGATCTATTTTAAAAGGCGAACGGAAGCATTGGAAACCATGTAAAGTAATACTAGTAAATATCATACTGTGACCCTTACTTACGGCCATATTCTTCCTAATCGCTAATCGAATTTCACCAATTTAAAGGTACATTATGCCTCAGAAATCCTTTTTTTTTAATTCTTTAGAATTGCCAATCATGTGTTTAATGATGTTTTTGGTAATATATTAAGAGTATGTAAGATGTTAAACAACTGAAATTGCGCTCAACATGTAGTAATGTGTCGCAAAGGTAGCAAAATGTAAACAAAGTAGTATTCTAATTCACTGTACTTATATCAATTGCAAACATATAACAAAATCAGCAAATTTTAAATATATATCATGAATCTGGCAAATAGACGGTGGCACAGAGGTGTCTGCTTTTATTTATCTCGTGCGCACGATATACTATGTTGTGGTCACGTTTTACTATGTCGTGGTCACGAGATAATTAAGTGGTGCGCATGATATACTATATGTCGTGGTCACGACTTAGTAACTCGTGGCCACGACATAGTATTTCGTGGCCACGATATTATAGTATATCGTGTGCACACTTAATTATCCCGTGGCCACGACTTAGTAACTCCTGACCACGACAAAGTATCTCGTGCGCACCACTTAATTATCTGGTGGCCACGACTTAGTAACTCGTGGCCATGACATAGTATCTTGTGCGCACAAGATGAATAAAACGCACAAATGTCACCTTTGTGCTATAGTACAAATGAGGGTTTGTTTTCCTTTGGAAAATTTTTTTGAGGAATAAAAATGATAGCGTTTCTAAAGTATATAATAAGCCTTTAGGTAAATATTTATAGACGTTCAGAGCATACTGTCGACATCTGTCTTTGATGTACGGAACATTTTTGGATAATGTTCACAATCAGAACATCCTCGGCTATAATCAATGATAACTTATCCGATGACTGACGGAAAGGGCCGAAAAGTTGCGATTGTAATGTTCACGGTGTTGCAACACCGTAAAACGCCCTTACTGCAAAATGTTCGTATATGGACGTTTTGCATTGTATATCGTTACCTTTCTGGACGTTTTTGTGAGACAAAAAACAAGTTTCCATTCCACCGCATAACGCGGACATTTTCAATATTTTAGTTTATAATCTTCCCAAATATACTGTCATTTTAGATAACAATTGTTTGACGGCAAACATTATTTCTTATCAATCTGAACGTAATAACTGTATTTATTATACCGCACGTAAACATTTTTCTATATAACTTGATGTGACGTCTCATGGTGTTACAATCGTAACAACTCGGCAATCTCCGTCAAGTTCGAAACCCTAGGGGAGGGAAATCTATATTTACTTTAGAAAACATAATGTTCTAGTTCTCTCCCTTGTATAAAGGAAATTTTGGTATGATAAAAACCATTGATGAACGACTTTATAGTTTTTAAATATTAGTTCGGTACAAGAAAAAAAGAACACATATCTGTTATGGCAATTGTACCCGTCGAGGGTGTTATTTGAGTTCAAGGCTTGCTATCTGGCATGTGTTATTTTTATATTCTTGTCATTTGTGTATTCAGCTACTACTGCAATGTTGACATTCATTGAGTATATACATGTACTTGTTTGACCCGTTAGGAATTGTTTATTACAGGACCGTATCTGTGATGAGATTACATTTGTCTTGTAACCTGAGAGTCTGTACCTTTTCTACAATACCCGCTGAACCAACGGCATTGCACGTGGCACGTGCTCAATTTGTCACACATATCTGTAAACCCCAGCCTTTTGCAGTGGCTATTCTGAATTGAAACCGGACAAACAGATAGGTGACTATGGTTTAAGACAAATGTGGCATTTTTTACGAAAGACAGACTTAATATGCACTAAGAACACGGATTCGAGCTTATGGCAGGCGGGCCTTTTCAGTCCCTAATTGTTTTGGCCAGCAAAATGTCACACACTGCTGTTAAAATTAGCCTTAATACTGTTGCATAAGCTATTTCGAAAAGATATCGGACAATCGAGAATCGTTGCCAGTCGTTAAAACACCATTTGTCTAATTCCGTTGCGGATTAGAAAGTTAATTACATTTTTGGAGGTTTTTCTAGCAATTACGACAAATTGGTCGTTTCTTTTTGGGGTTTTTTTTTTGACCGGTCATTTTATCTGTTTTTAATGTAAAGTGTAGAAACACCATTTTCTTTTGCCATTCGTTCAAAGAACATTTGTATGATACCATCGCGTATAAGTTTATAAAAACACAACTTCCCGGTGCAAGCCTTATTAACAGATTTCCTCGTGGCATGGTCGTTCTTTGGGCCAGCTATTTATTCTGTCTATATATAAAGTGTATTTTTTTATATAAAACATTTCCTGTTGTCACTTTAACACAATTTTACTAATCCTGTTGAGGATTATAGATTCCATTAGTATGGAGTTTCTTCTTAACAACTATATTAAGCTCAGAGCAAACGGCCTCCAAATTTCCGCGTGGCATGGCCAAATATTGGTTTGGCGATTTGTTCTTTCTGTTAATAAAGTGTTAAAAAATATCATAAAAAACTACATCATTTTTTTGTTGTCAATCGTTTGATAACCATTTGACTGATACTGTTTTGGACTACAAATTCCATATCTTCTTTACAGCAATATAAGGCACAAAGCTCTGGTCAAAGGAAAATGGAATTCAGCTCTAGTAATAGAAAGCCGTTATATACGAAAGATTTGTAGGGACATTTCATCTTCATGAATTCCTGATTTCATCTTCATTTGTAGGGCCATGTCAACTTCATGAATTTCCGATTTCATCTTCATTAATTCCAGATTTCAAATTCACTAATTCAATTTTTTTCCACTGCACGAATTCACTTTTTCAACTGCACGAATTCACTATTTCAACTTCTCGTATAAGCTTTTATAACTTCATGAATTTACGATTTCAGCTTTACGACTTCTTATTAGTGTATTCACGATAACAACGAATTCACGATTTCAACTTCATGAATTCACAATTTTACTTCGTGTATTCACGGTGATTTTAACTTTACTAATTCACGAATTCAACTTCAATATTTTAACACCTCTAATTCAACTTCATGAATTCACGATTTTAAACTTTGTGTTTTGACGATTTCAACTTCACGATAACAAATTCACAATAACAACTTCATGAATCACGATTTCAACTTCATGAATCACGATAACAACTTCTTGAATCACGACTTCAACTTTATTGAAATCGTGAATTCACGATGTCGAATTAATAAAGTTGAAATCGTGAAGTTATGAACCTGAAATCGTGAATTCACGAAAATGAAATCGGATATTCATGAAGTTGA